GCTGAACAAGTTGGGGCGCCCAGAGCATGCTGACAGCAGCCAAGCAGTAAAGTGCTAAAACTGCATTTAAAAAACACACCCTGGGAATGAATCTGAGCTTGCAGCAACATCGTGCCAGGCCACTAATAGCTCTAAATGTAGTTCAGCCAAGCAAATCCTTCTGTCAGACTGCCTCTAGCAGGCTCCCCACAGTAAAACGCACCAGGAAAATGATGGGTGCGGAGAAAGAAGTGGCTTCTGTGATTTCTGGAGCCCTTCCTGGGACAGAATCACTGCGCATGGCTCCTGTCTGCCTCCCTCCCAGGCACCCCAGGGTCTGGCGAGAGCTGACCTGCGCAGAAGGTTAGGCTGGGTCCTGTGGCGAAGCAACGTTATGGGGAGTAACACAGGGAGTGAGATTAGCCAGGAGGCGGCATTTGCAGCATTAGTACAGAAACCTGAGAAAGCACGGCAAGAAAGTGGATGTTGGACAAGCAAAGGGAGCCCCAAGAAATGAGAATTGAAAGGGAAAAAAGCAAAAGCCCCAAAGCGATTCCCATATAAGAATCTGAGTGTTTCAGCCCTCTGGGCAATACTGTGACTGCATCTGTCACTGTATTTTCTTTTTCTATGGGTTCGTTGTGATTTTTTTTCTCTCCTCAGCCTCAACAGACCTGCAAACTATGAGCCTTTGCAGCTGACAGAAGCTGAGGCAAAAGCCATCGTCCAGCCACTCTCTCTCCTTCTCTCAGGTGACATGCAGATTCACTGAGTGCCTGCCCTCCTTGCTTTCATGTGCCCACAGGAATGTCTTCCATCATCCCACAAAATCGGTCTCCTGTTTTCTCCTGACCAGCAAAACCGTCCAAGGTTAGTAAACTTGCTGTCAATTTGCCCCATCATTTTGAATGAATAGTGCAAAACAGTTGGTTATGCATCAAGAATGTGCGCAGATGGAAGTCACCACACCACTGTCTTCATAGCTACTGACGAGACACAGTGTTTTTACAAGCCCACAGACAGGAGTGCTAAGGACTTCTGAAAGCTCCTCTGAAACTTTTGCCTCCACTACCAGACAACTGTGCTGCTGTGCTTTTTTCAAACCAGAGTTGTCTGGAAGCTTTCAATTTTGCATTTAGGGCTTGTACTTAGCGCTGACAGATGAACCAGAACAATTTTATAATACACATGAGAAGGCTCATGGCAGATTCATATGCCATGCGCTCAAAGATGTTCTCTGAGTGTGTGTGCATTAGACAAACTGCACACTGAACGTCTGCCTCTCACAAATGTGGAAACCTTCTGAAGCAAGTAGAAACAGCCATTGAACAGTAGCCCCCAGATGCACAGGACTACAGGACCAAGGCTGGCCCTTCTTACAACCCCCACAGCAGGGATGGGTTTTTGGCACAGCCATAGTGCAGCACAGCACCGTCTTGCCTTGTAATCCAGAACTCAGAGGGGCTGCTGAAAAGTATAATATAAGTCAGAGCACCCTCAAGGCAGTTTGGACATATGTAAGGGGTAGGAAAGCCTTTTATAACACTACATTGGAGTGCAAAGTTGGTTTAATGACAAAATAGTATAACTTCAGTCCCTAGGAGACCACTACAGTAGCTATTAAAGGCACAGGTAGTGTTAGATATTTTACCCAAACTCAGATTTTCGGATTTAGTTTTTCAAATCCTGGTGATTGCAGAAATAGTTTTGGTTGTTTTTTTTTTTTTTAAATCAATGAACATTTCTGTTCTCATTCAACCACTCTTCTGGAGCATACACTAGGAGTTGAGACAATCCATGAAAGCCACGTGATTAAATTGACTAGAATAGACAGAAGCAGAAGTAAAATTGATTAACTTGACCCCCTTTTTTTTTTTTTTCCCAAAAAGAGAATGAGATGCAAATGTAACATCTGAAGAGCATAAGCAGTGCAAACCAAAGAGGACAGTCACTCCTCAAATTGAACCGTCTCAATTGTTGTCAGTAACATGACAAGAACTGTCACATGAGCATGAGATTTTTAATAAGGTAGGATCCTTCCAAACTGAACGCAATAAAATTTGAGAAGAAATAACTTCATTGACTCAGTTCCTTTTTCCTCAGGACTGCCTATACTGTATGTGGTATGGGCAGTGGTTGCGATTACCCGGCTTTGTTCTATCTCCAGCCCCAAGGTAGTCAGCAGAAGAGCCTCTGCAGCTGAGAGACAGAGCAAAAAGTAAACTGAAGGTGCAGGTGCACCATCAAGAGAAAACCACTTGTCTGGAAGGTAAGGTAAGTGAGGGAGCAGAGTGCTTTGCGAGCCCAGCAAAACCAGCTGGAAATTCTCTATCCTTCAGCTTTAAACCTAGTGATTTTAACAACTAATTTAGTTTAAAAGACACCCATTAGTCCCAATGTCCAGTGAAAGCTGCAAATAAGTAATCAGGCTGCTTTTATCCACATGCCCATGTTTAGTTTTAGATGCCTCCTTCAGCCTCCAGATTTCAACACCAATTGTTCTGATTAAGTGTTCCTTTCCCACTTGCACAAGCACATACATACGTAAGAAAGAAAGAGAGAGAGAGAGAGAGAACTTCAGATCACTAGTGTTTTTTCCACTCCCTTTGGGTGCCAAAATCTTGACTCCCCAGGGAGAAGAAGCCATGTGAAGATTTCCTTCAGACTTTTAGCACCAAATCACCACAGATCGCTCTAATTGACAGTTTGAACTGCTGAGCTAGAAGAGACCGCACGGTTACCTCTCCACGCTGGAGTCCTGCAGCAGGTACGGAGAGCATTTGACTGCATAAACTGTTCTCCACCTCTTGTGCTTGACTTGGTACACATGCCCAAAGCCTCCGCTGGCCACTTTAACCCAGTCTTCTTCAAAATCCTCCTTATTAAAGACAGTTAAGCTGCCCAGTTGCTGGTCTCTCTCTGAAGTCATGACAGAAAAGGCAGCCCGGCTGTCTGCCTCCTGCTCAGCTGGTGTCGGAGAAGAATAAAGGAGCTCTTCCTACTTCTGACTTGCATAGGGAGGTAGGGAGTTACCTGAGATGAGCCATGTTACTTACTGCCAAGAGGTGGGTCCTAAGCGTCACTCTCATATGGTAAGCAGAGTAGCTGCATTACTCGACTTCAGGCACTCACGCCAGGCTACTTGCAGAGCTCGGCCAGGCTGGGTAAATGTCTACATTTCCATAAGGCTGCCCCGATCTCTCATACTGAGCACTGGGTGGCCAAATGCTGAAAGAATACAAGATGAAAAATGGTGCAACGCAACAATCATTTAGCAATTGCACTGTGCTGAAGATGGGATTCCTCACCTGAGGCATCAGTACACGCTGGATGAAAATGAGACAGACTGAAACTGAAAGGGAAGGAGGGCCTTACACAGAGAAACATCCACAAGGCTCCTGAACAGCACTGCACGCGTGAGCTGGATGAAGAAGCAAAGCGGAAAACACTCCAGAAAGATGAAGAACAGAGGAGACCGCAGAACTAGCATGTGGCGAACGTGAGTGCATGAACCTGAGAAAATACTGAAACAGAAATACAACAAACATGGCGAGCCAGAGTGGTTGCCTCAGGGATAAGGTATGCTGCCGAATGCCTGCAAGGGGCAATTGAAGAAACAAGAGAATTCTGAAGAGCTGGTCTGAGCAGTTTAACCATTACCGTGTGAGCACTAGTAACAGCATGCATGCTTTTAGTTGCTTTATGCACTGACTCCCCAGCTGCAAAAAAGGTTTAATGACACTCGTCTGGGTCTTGTGCATATATGTCTTTAACGACTTAGCACAGGGACTGTCTCTGTAGGTAAAGCAACATCCAATACAACGTGGTGCAGGTTTCCTTAGCGCTACTGCAATACGAATGATAATCGTTATTTCTGACGGGTAATCATCATTGAGTCTGGACCTGGAATTTTTAGATACCTGAATTTACATATCAGATCTGAAGAAATTCTTGGAAGACTGATGCAGGTGGAAGTGCAAGCTACTTCTCCATTGCATTTGACACAGAGTGCTCTGGCAATGGCCCATGACTCAGAACTGCAGGGCTTTAGAGAAAGAAGGAAAAGAAAAAGGAGAAAAGCCAGTCAGGCTCTGCAGCCTTTTAGGGAAAAAAAAGCATTACGGTCTGACACATGATTGTTGCTGGTTCCCTGCCACTCCCTAAGAGTTGCCCTCCAGGCATGATGCTTCTGGCCCAGGTACCACCCCCAGCCACCTCCATGCCCACTTGCCGGCACTCACCTGCCAACACAACTTCAGAGCCAAGGACAAGCAGGATGGGGCTCCGTTCCCTCATGTTCCGGCACAGGCAGGACAGACCCTTACTGAAATGCTCAAGTTTTGTCATAGAAAGTTCAGGAGAAGTTGAGGGAGCGGGGGGAAATGCTCCACGGTTGCAGAGTGGCAGCTGCTGCTGCTCCACTTCCTCCACAGAGCTTACAGGTGTGCTGCATTTCTTGGCAACTAGCTCAGGCTCCTTCCAGGGTCTCTCTCAGCTTTAATGGCATTAAAATGAAGGGTGAAGAAGTGAGGCAGTCATGCCGATCACTTACACCTTGGTTGACAACAGCAACTTACATTTCTTGACGTGAACCTCTCCTGCTTTTGCCCCAAACCGGGGAGCCATTTTAGCCCAGTCCATTTTGAAGAACACCGTAACTGCGGAAGCGGCACTCACACTCCCGAGTTCGCAGTTATCCCACTTTCTTTTGGATTTCCTAAGGCACAAGCTTGCAGTGCTTCTCTGAAGCGAATGGGAACACTGCGGTTATGGATGGCCCTCCTCCTTGTCCAGATGCAGAAGGATGGAGGCTGAGACGGTCAGGAAGGGCTGGGGCCTCGCAAAAGGCCTCCTCTGACAAACCCAGTCCCAATTCGCTCTGCACACCAGCCCCACTGCATAACACACGCAACCGCAGCTCTGCCCCCAACACCTCAGACGTCCATTCCCTCGCCCGGAACTAGCGCCCTGCCAGCTGCAGCTCAGTCCACAGATGAGCCAACATAAATCGCTCCCACAGCAACACCGCCCTACCACCAAACTCCCACCTGATCTCCCTGAGATTCCCCTTGCAACCGGCAGGACCAACGGACAGAGTAAAAATTCCAGTGGTTGCTGAAGGTTAAGATCACATGTGCAGTGCAATTTTGCTGGCATCAGTTAACACAGAGCTGGGCAGGAAAGCAGCTAAATGGAGAACACAGAGTTGGAGAAAGCATTTTATTGGGTACCCCCAGCACCGAATAGCTAGGGAAAAGGGCGGGGACAGAATTTGTTTGGCGGGGACAAAGAAGAGAAACACCTTCTTCCAGAGGCTGAGGTCCACCGGCCTCCTCCCCTGTGCAGGTGCTGAAAGAGCATCTCCACGCAGAATCCGAGCAGCTTCTAAAAACGTGGGATCTGCAATGAGCCACGTACCTGCCGCGGAGGCACAGAAAACAGCCCCGAAGGGCCAGGGATGCTAGACGTGGCCGCAGCCCCAAAGCCAGGGAGCTCCCCTTCCCAGGAGTGCCCTTCTCTTGCCCGTCTTCAGCCCCCTGACGCACCTCCTCTCGCTCGCTCTTGCCTCGAGGTTCCTTCCACACACGACGGGCGCCTCTTCTCGCCTCTCCACGTGCAGCTGCTGCGAAGGCCGGAGTGCGCGGTCAGGACTGAGAAGCCCCCGCTCCTTCGCCTGGAGGACAGAGGGAGGCCGGGCCGGCCCCGGGGGGGAGGGCTCCACAGCACCACCCCCCCCCCGCCCGCCTCCCCGTGCCTT